ATATATATATATACATATTCGCTCCTAGAGTAAAGTATCTATATCTACTATCTCTATTTAATTCAAGTTCTGATGTAATTTCGATTCTTATTCTCGCACGTTGTTGGCAAGGAGCATGGTGTTAGATTTAAGATCTCTCTACAAATTTAAATATTACATATTTTCCGTCCTCTATATTTCCGGAAAAACTTGAATTCATCAAAAATACGTGTAAAGATGTTTCGCGTGCCGCTATTGAACGGGCAAAGCGTCAAAGCAAAAGTACATCCCAGAAATAAGCGCCATCTATCTGGGAATCCCTATGTCTCAAATCTCAAAGACAAGATGGCATCTTCAAGGCGGCACCACGCTCGACGGCGTTCGAGTGGAGCATCTTCACCTCGATGGGGACCGTGGTCGTGGTAGTCGTGGTAGTGATTAGGGGACGCGTGGTAGTCGTGGTAGCGATTAGGGGACGCATCTCGTCCTCTGTAGCAGAACGTGTGCAGTCCAACATATAAGTCCCGTCACCCCTAACCAGCTTGACTTTGGCATCAAGCCACGTCTGATACCTTTTGCTCCACCACTGGACCTGGTCATTTTTCTGGTACAGCGGGCCACTGTGCGCCTCGTCAGCTTCTCCGACATCGCGGAGCACTCTCACCTCCGTTAAGGCATCGGCATGGAGCCGTCGGGGCCGGAGATGTTCCACGGGAGCGTCCGGTCTGATATTCAAGTCGTAGTGGTTGCTGTCTTTGACTGCAGTGATCTTTGCAGGGAGCCACTGAAAGTAAGAAGGACTGAAGTACTCAACTGCGTCGCCGATATTGAACTTCGATCCTGTGACGGGAGGAGCAGCTGCTTCCTCAATCAAGAACTCCAACTCCTTGCGAATACTTGCCAAGGACGGCCGCTTTTTGTAGTCGTTAGCCAACATCTGCATGATGAGAAAATCTACCTTTTTCGTTCCGGCGATTGTAGGGTCCTTCGTAACATCATAGAGGTAAACCATACGATTTGGGTCGGAGAAGAAAGGGGGATTTCTGTTATAGACCAGCTGGTAGAGGATGACACCCAAAGCCCAAACATCTCGGGCAGGAAGAGACAGTGCCTCAACTTGCTGCTTGAAGGTTTCTGGCGGCATGTAAACCGGTGTGCCTCCAAGGTGGCAGCCATTTGGCTTCATCGCGCATGCAAGGCCGAGGTCGATCACAGCCGCAAAGCACATGTGATTCTGGCAGTTCACCATGACATTGGCGGGCTTCAAGTCAGTGTGGATCCTCCCGGTCTTGATCTGCAGAGCCTCGGTGCCGGCGACGATGTCATGGAAAAGGACCAGGATATAGGCATGCGTGAAGGCGGGGTCGACTTTTGTGAAGTCTCTCCTGCCTTCCGTGCTACCCGAATTCTGGCACAGTGGGTTCTTTTGGCACTGCTTGATGAAGTCATGAAAGTCCCCGTAGTTCATGTACGGCATCATGATCCAGAAACCTTTGGAATCCTCGATGTGCGATACCGATCCGACCGCTGAAATGCAGAAGTCGGAGTAGCCCTTCATCTCTTCGAGGACACGTATCTCCGTTTTAACGAGCTTGCTCTTCTCCTCGATGTACTTCACGGACACATAAACATCTCTGCTCTCCTCACAAAGAACTTTGCACTTGAACACCTTTCCAAAGGTGCCGGCACCCAGCCATTTGACGATATTCAACTTCGAACGCCATGCATGGGGAAGCTGCACGATTTTGTCTTTGTGAGGAGCTTCTGTGAAACTGGACGGCTCCACGAGAGGCAAGTCTTGGCCTTCCATGAGCAGGCGGATGCCGCTTTCGTTGAACGCGCGATACCTGTGGAATCATTCTTCGATTCGTTTTCGGTTGACACGCTGCGATGCGAGCTAGAAGTAGAAACGAACAGAAGGCATACAAACACCCCCGAAAAGACTGATGGATTTTTGGGCCCCTCCCCACTTTCGCGCCTGTGGAGCTCCTGCACCGCATTCGCGTTGTCCCGGGCCTCTGCCCGAGCCTCCCCGAGGCGAGCTGCGTCTCCGAACCGAGCCAGCGAGCCAAAGGCACACCAGGCCGCCCAGGCCAAACCGAAAGGACAGGGCATCTTTCAAAGTGGGATTTGAGGCTACAAGGATTGATCAGGCAACGAGGCGTCCACACTCCGGCGCTTGAGCCAGATGAACGATCTCAGCCAAAAAAGGGATCGCTCAAGCAGGGCCTAGCTCAAGCTGCTGCCAGTTCAGGAGCCTTGCAGATTACACGAGCCAAGCCTTCTATCCGATTCAAGATCTACGACCTCCATTGCAACTCGGCCAATCGACTGCTGGACCATCGTTTTGCTGGAACGCGAATCAGCTTCGACCCATGGTCTGCATTGCAGAAGCCATGGTCCAAGCATTGCATATAGTCAGGTGAAACGCATCGTTGCTCTAATTCACAGAGCAAAAAGCTTGTGAAATCGTTCGAACTCTGTTTTGGATGGACATGCTAAATATGCGCCCCTTTCAGCAGCAAAGCATTTCCACAAAAATGGCTTGGATTCATGTGCATGCGAATTGGAGGATTTCCGCGCTCCTCGTCGTGCTTTGGGGTTCACTGCAGCTGTCATGGGCTGCCAACTCCAATCCACAACTTTCAAGAACCACTCCATTGTAAATAAACATACTCTCCCCTCTGAAAGTTGTGAACGGATGCTCGGGACTGGACCTACGCCGGAGGGTTTGTCATTAACCACACCGGTTGGGTCAGCTCCACCACCACAGTCGTGATGATGAACACGAAATAAAGCACCGCCATGCAGCCACCCAGCGCTTTCTGCAGCTTCCAGCCACAGATCTTGATGCTGAGGACAGTGCCGAAAACCATCCCCAGGAGTACACACGTATAAAACATCAGATAAGGAGACTGGATACTGACACCCTTAAACTCAGGGTTGTCTGCTTCCAGCGCACACTTCAAGAGCCAAGGAACTGGTAGCCCGACCTTGGCAACAAGACGGCTTTCCAAAGGCTGACGGTGCCCAATCTTCAACGCAGTAGGAACAATCCCCACGATTCGCCCCACAGACCCAACGACGACTCTAGCAGAATGCAAAAAAGCGGCCAGGATGTCGAAAATGTTGGAACCAACGGATGAGCTCACTGCCATGTCTGCCTGTCCTGCGCACGTGCCGCAGAAACTCCCGGCACAGAAGGCTTTGAACGACCACTGGGCGGTTGTGTCCTTTCCGGGCAACGGCCATGGAGCTGACGGCGTCGGGGATAGAAGTCGCAGCGGCCAGGAATGTGACGCTGGAGACGATAGTGGGTATCTGCGCAGAAATTTCTGCAGAAACTTCCGTGTCAAGGAGGCATCAAACTATGGGACAAAAACTGCCCCAGAATTTGGAATCTCAGGCTGAAGCCCCAAGAACGGTCGTCACCTCGGCTCTTGCTGGCCCTTTACCCAACTTCGAGCGCCTGCGCCTGAGAGGCATTTTTTGTTGCCAAGACGCGGTGTCTGTCAACCAAACCAGGAAGAAGGCAAAAGTTCCAATCCACATCAAGGAGATGACGAATGTAAGCATGAACAACCTCGAGCCCTTGGAAGGCCAAGGCCTGAGCATTAAAGAAGCCACGACAGTTCGTGCCACGTGTTGATTCTCTTCGTGAGGCTCCGGCAGAGTGTAGTACAACATCACATAAATTGGCAGGGCAAGGCCCCACAATATTCTGTTGAAGGCTCCTCCAGTCGGGAGTCGCGCAGTGCCGAACAAGGCTGTCGGAACGTCTTGGCCTCCCACCTTCTGGCACAATCATGAAATCTTCCGGCTCGTCATCATCGTCGTCTTCGTCCTCACCATCCGCCGTGGCAGTGCCTGCTTTCTCCACATCCTTCGGCTCCTTTGCAGGAGGTGCAGGGAGGGTATCACGGACGGTGCACAGATTAAAAGCTTTATAATACTTAAAATTATAGTAACAATTATATAGCAATTTATTATTATATAATACTTTGTATTATTATACTTGTAATAATAATGGATATAAGTATAATAACAATAATACAATACTTATAATATTGGTTGTTGAACTTCTTTGACAGTCGGAGAGGCCTCGTCGTCTGGCTTCGCCTTCCAGGCTACAACTTGCAACGCCCGGGGCTTCGCAGCATTGGGGGTTTCAGAAAATTCGGGTACCTTATTTTGGGGTCCTTATAATAGGGATCCCATTATTTAGGGTACTATATTACGGTCCCCTATTTTCGGAAACCCCCATTTCGCCACTTTCAGAGCACCCCACGAAACATGGCTAACCAGGTCCAGGTTTCAATATGGGGGTGGTTGTCAAAATCATGGTCCCTTTTGGGGTATCCCAAATAATAGGTGCCATATTATAATAAGGACCCAAAAAGGGACCCTAATTTTGACAACCACCCATGTTTCAATGCTACTTTGCAAGGATGTTGGCAAGTTATGGGCGAAAGACACCGCACCCTTGTCGGCACGGCACCCGTCGAAGCCTAGATGCTGGGAGCTGGAACTTCCCCACCACTTCTGCAAGATGCATTGGTCACGCGGCGAGTCGCGCGAGAACATGGAGCGAGCTGATGGCCACTGGAGCTCGCGCACAGCACACGGCAGCCGATACACACGAACCTTCAGAAACGAACTTTTCAGTTGTACAGCGTGTAGTGTTTCTTCGCTGTCTATTTGAAAGAACCCGCCCATTGTGTGCAACAGTGTAGAAACGCGTTCACGTGCAAGCGCGGGCGAAGTCATACCTGATTTTGGTTAGAGCGTCCGTCAAGTGGAAACACGGTTCGTAAAAGCTTTGAGCCGTGACGTGGAATCTACCCAGGAGGCCTGCAATCAGCAAAATGCAACCGCTCAGATGCGATATGCAACCGGTGCGTCGGCCCATGCGCGTCCGCAGAGCAGGAAGAGTGTTAGTTGGGCAGCTCTCTCAGGAAGAGACACCTGTTCGGGAATAGGGACACAACAGTAAGTACGACAGGACTACACTACGCGGCAACATGGAGTTACAACCTCAATGGAACACACATTTGTGCAAGTCTCCCACATGACAATGGCACTGAACTTTACCCTCAATCACGACAGCCTGTCCTTAACCTAGCCTGACCAATTCAGAAATCTGCTTCTATGGCATCGTGCCTGAACCAGAAGAGTCGAGCGCGCGCGCGCCATTAGACAGAAGGACTCAACATGACTCCAGCGGTCTGTTCGGAAGGGTGCCAGAAACCTCCGGAGCGTTGGGCCCGCGCGTATTGAACATGGTTCCCTACGGACATCCAGTACCGAGTAGTACCGCAAAACCGTCATGACAGTCATGACCTCGCTTTGGATCTTCGTGTATTCTGTTGGCGACAGGAGTGACGTGATCATCATTAGGCAGAGCCTTCTCAACGATTCGGTCTTCCTTCATGTAGTTGTCCTTTGCCGGCTCCGGCCGTTCGGCTTCCTCAGAGAGTCACAGTGACAGTCTTTAATCGGGCTCACAGTCAACAAAGATTCCCGGACTCACATAGCACACAACCTGTAGCTAATCTGGTGCTGCCAGGGCTCTGAATCTGCACCTGGCTTTGGTGGTGGGGCACCCGTGCTGGGCACAACCACTTCTTCTGGCTCCACTTTGCTCTTGGATTTCATTTGCTCCACGTATTCGCGAAGCTCTTTGGGGAACGGGGTGCCTGTCTTCTCGTACCTTGTCAACACGTGCGGAGCCGAACGCATCACAAACACAAACACATTGATCCTCCAGGCAAGGTGCGCCCAAATGTTCAAAGGCCTGTTGATGAACATGAAGCAAACGTAACCTGCAGTGAGTCGCTGTGGTCGAGACACGTTTGCTCTCCCTACCCCTCTTTCAGCCCTCCATGAGGATAGGACCAATGTAAAGGGCGAAGAGGATACCCGCCTCAGGTGCCACGTGCTCCCAGTCAGAAGCGTTTCTCTATCTGTCTTGAACTTCTCAGCGCTTCTTATGTTCTCTGAATCATATGCCTGATTTTCAAGATCTTTTACAAGATATATCTACATCTGTGTAACCGTAGCATTAAATCTCTGGTTGCCTACTTTCGTGTACAACCTGTAGGCCTCCTCCTTACCTCGTTGGATACTCCCATACACCTGTTATTTATGTTTCCTGTGTTGTGGTCGGACATCATCACATCCTCGGTCATCTTAAGGTAGTTCTTAATCAACTCTTCATTTGACATTTCATCAACCCCAAAATCGACGCAATATACATAGCATTAACTTTGCTTCTTCTCCTCTCCTTTGATCGCCTGAATGTTTCTGTAAGATGTTCTGCAGACATGTGGTACATTGTAATACCGAAACATTGAGTGGCATATACTTCTCGAGCGCTCACCACCCCTGGCCTCCCACGCTGCAATGGTCTGGTTGTAAGTAAAAGCTGCCAGAACGCCCAAGGACATGATGTAGTACGAACAATCCTGCGTGGCAGAACTCATCAAAGCGCAGCAGTTCACGACAAACAGGTGTCCCGAAAGAGAGGCCACCAGGTCAGCTCGATGTTTCCTTTGGCAACGTAGCCACACCTTGGAAAGCCGATCCCCGCCTACCCAATGTGTCTCTTCCAGAAACGCAGGCGGGGTACACCTTTTTGCAAGTTCCAGATGCCGAGTTCACGCATAATTCTTCGCTGTGACAGTCGCAGCCCCTGGGCTCCAATGCTTCCAAGGAGCAGGCCGATGACAAAGAGAACGTTGAAAACAGCGGATCCAACAATCGTACCAAAGCCAACATCATTCTGGGCCTTAGCTCATCCCTGCGGATGACGTCTGCACTGACAGTTTCGCGCCATGCCATGCAGTCTCAAGATGTCTCGAAGCCGAAACTGGGCCAAAACACGATGGTCGCGCCAACCATGGATGTGAAGAACTCAGGGGCAGATCCACCTGCTGCCATCCAGGTTGCCTGCAGCGTGCTGGTGACTGTCCGATCTCGTTATAGGGCGCGCGCTCTGTATCTATTTGCTGCCGAATTGAAGAAAACCTTTCGTCCAAGAGAGATCCAGTCACGTCTGTCATGTGCATAGGACGGAAGTGAAAGCGGAAGCAGAATCTAAATAGACACGAACCCCCAGAAATAACAAAAGATTTCTGGGGACCGGAAGGATTAAGATGAAGCAGACACATTCTAGGGCGCATGGTACCTCAGATACAACTCGCATGTATGGCACGGTCGCGTGTATGCATTTGCATTTGTGCTGGTTCAGCTGTATCTGCGTATGCTACTATATACTGTCAAATATACATGAAATACACTTGAACATGACGCGTTACATGACACATGATAAGACGTTGCGACATAAGATGGACTATAATTGCAATCATCACCGTTGAGCGAGGGTTCAACGGAATGTGTGGCGAGAGAGCTGGAGCCACAGTAAGTGCAGTAATCCATCTCACGAAAGACTGTATATTCTTCCTTGACACACACAAACACACAAAAAAACAAAGAAAGCACACCCTGAGGTATACAACTGTCATGGCAAGTAGTCTGCAGAAGCATCCGTGCAGAATTCTGATATTCCAATCTTGACCCTGGTGCAACGAAGTTGCGCCAGCAACATCCGGTGTCAAGCTCCAGGCATCACAAAGTAGGTCTATGGATCCCGCGAAGTAGACATCGCACACCGTGTTCAATCCGAGAACCAAATAGGCCTCAAGTTGCTTCGTTTGCAACAGAGAGATCAATCTTCGTCTCCTCTGAGCTGCGGGCAATGCCAACGCAGTGAAACAGGATCAAAAACTTCCGCCCTGATTTTTTTGCGAATGACACCAACAGTCAGCCATTGATGTGAACTCATGCACAATGGTTTGCTGTGTCAGGCTGTTCAGGATGTCAAATCAAAGTCGCAGCCATGGCAAGCAAGGCCTATTGGCTCGTCCTCATAAGGCTTGTTGAGGAGCAGGTCGTCAGGGTACAAGCTCGGAGATTTCTCAGCTCTTCCACTTCCCGAGGGTCCGAGTTCAAACATGTTGAGCACTAGTGATACACAAGAGCTCAAGCAAGTCATCCGGCGAAGACTGTTTGTGGCAAAGGGCTGTTGTGACGGAGATGGGATCATCTTCGTACAGCCTCCGGCTTCCACCTGCGACGTGCGCATGGCTACTTTACTTAGCATCCTTCGGATCATGGATCATGAGAAGTTTCGATTACGCCCAACTCAGAGCCGAGCCGCCGGACGGATCTTTGGATAGATCCTTCGAAACCCAAAAGGCCCAAAACTCAAGACAGCACAACAGCTTTCACGATGTATGCGAGAGAAGTACACTTACATCTTGGCCTGGATCACGGCGACCAGGCAAAATGCCAGAGCAATTCCTCAGGCAACTAACACCTCCCTTTCTTTAGCGCTGTCGGCAGCGCTTCTCGTGCTCGCGAAAGACACAAGACCACACATTTCACCATTGCATGCACATGACTTTGGGCTTCTTTGGTGAAGGATTTTGAGACCCTTCTGGGGCCCGGTCCAATTGAGCTGAGAGTGGTAATCTTTCTCCGCTGAAAGGGCTCTAGGCTTCGCAGCGCCTCCGGTGAAGTAGTACTGTAGCCTAGTGCCACGCTTTGACCTTGTGATGGCGTTGGGCCCCCACCTTTTTGTTCAAGCGCACCAGGCCCATTGCATCTGAGGTCCCCTGGGCTTGCTTTCACAAGCAACAAAAGCATCTCGCACGCTAACCAAGGCGTCAGTGCCTGCAGTCGAGCCCGCCAGCCTCTATGAGAGAAGTCTCCTCAGATGAACAGCCAAGACCAACAAGAACTAAACGGCGCCGACCTTGTTGGATCATGCCACAAACTCTCGTTTCAAAGCCGGGTCGCTCCGACCAGAGGATGGACGGGCGTGTCAAGCTATTCTCCACATGCTGCAGTGTCTGAGCCAAGACATGCTGTCCGCGCATTGAAGTTTCCGAGGCACCTACTACAAACCTCCCTGCTCTGGCCGTCTCGTTCGTGTGTGGAGGCGAAGCTTGCTTCCGTGGCATGCTGGAACTCTGCGACTGTCAAGAAACTATCTTGTCTCTTATCGTTTCCAGTGTCATGCCTCGGCGTCCCCTTCTGTAGGTTTCATCAGAAAGATCTGCATGGGTGGCACTCCCCTGCCACATGCAAGGGATAGTGTCATGAGACGTCGGTTGCTGGAAATACTTGCGACAAGACAGTACGGCGCTGGCTGATCAGCTGAAAGCGAAGCTTCTTTTGTCATCGTTGCAGCAGCTCGGTTCAATAGCAACATTGGAAATGTTTGTAAATGCTCCGGTGAAACATGCCTGGCCCAGCCGGCCGGCTGTAAGTGCCGGACATGGTTCTCACTCATTGTGCTGCTGATCGCGATAAAGATATGTAATTCCTGCATTTTCTGCAGGACAGGGTAAGAGTGCACCGTGCTGCGTCTGCGCGTGAAGAGCTCCGTAAGCAAGCGCAATCTACATGGAAACAAGCCCTAGCAATGGATCCAGTTTCAAATTATCGAAGCAATCGCAGACCGATTCACTCACACTGTCGGCTCTGCTGGCATGCTTGGTGGTGTCGACCATGTGCATCGGATTGCTGAGAGGCCAGGTAATTATGCCAGAAGACTCTGCAGAAGAACACTTCCATGCCCGCAGCTTCGCTGCATCTTCTCTTCTCAGAAGAGGAGGGCCGCATCGCATTAACTTGGAAAGCTTGACCCACCACCGCGATCCATCAGCTCAGTGGTGGGTTCGTCATTAACCACGTCGGTCTGGAAAGCTCCACCACCACAGTAGTGATGATGAAAACAAAATAAAGGGCCGCCATGCAGCCACCCAATGCTTTCTGCAGCTTCCAGCCGCAGAGCTTGATACTAATAACGGTTCCAAAAACCATCCCCAGCAGCAAGCAAGTATAAAACATCAAGTAAGGAGACTGAATTGACACACCCTTGAATTCAGGGTTGTTTGCTTCGAGCGTGCATTTGAGGAGCCAAGGAATTGGCAATCCGACCTCAGTAACATGAGCACCAGTCCTTTCAGAGACAAGCCCGAAGGAGTCCCGACCTGTGCTCACAGCCTGTTCTCGTCCAAGTCAAACGAAATTCGCAACTGTGGCGACAATGTTAACTGGTCGTGCCGAGCTGCTAGGATGTCGAAAATGTTGGAGCCGATCGAGGAGCTCACCGCCATGTCGGCTTGTCCTGGTGCACCCACACACTCAGCAGCATCTCGTGTCCGCAGAGCATCGTTCTGAAGGAGAAACCTCTTGCTCCGCCCGGCTCCTTTTCGGGCAACGGCCATGGAGCTGACTGCATCCGGGATGGATGTTGCGGCCGCCAGGAAAGTGACGCTGGAGACGATGGTGGGTATCTCGGAGAGTTGCGGTGTGATTCGCAGAAGCATGACTCCGTGCCAGGCACCGGGGGATGCCGAAGTGGCAGCTGAGAGCGAGACCCCTACCACCGTCGTTACCTGAGCTGTCTCTGTGCCAAGCTAGGCAATAAAATTTGACAGGCTTGACGGTGCGTGCAGACTTTGAAATACTCAGCCGGCTGCGATATCGGTCCACCAAACGAGAAGAAATGCGAACCCACCAATCCACAGCAATGACATTCCAAAGATGCGCATGAAACTTTTGGAGCCTTTGGAAGGCCAGGGCCTCGGTTCTCATCGTTCTGCCAGGATTGCCATGAGCTGCTGCGACCAAAAGAATCTGACTAGGGCTGCCGCATTGAGAAGTATAGAAGTGCATAGAGGGGCACACTCAGGCCCCAGAGTATCCGATTCAGCGTGCCTCACAACATCAAAGCCAAAACACCAGCATCAACTTTCCAGCAGATCTGCACAAAGTAACGAATACAATCAAGACAAAGAGCCTTCTGGCACGAGAAAGAAATCTTCAGGCTCGTCGTCATCGTCATCATCCTCATCGTCCTCCCCCTCTTCCGGATCAGCGGCAGGGGAAGGATCTGCCTTCTCTATGTCCTGCGTCTCCTTCAAGGCTTTAAGGCTGCAAGAATGTGAATGCAGGGCTTCGGGCAGCGACAACTTGTTCCGTTGCACCCTGCACAGGCCTGGTCCCCCGCCGGCTCCGCTTCTGCGACTTCCTCCGCGGCTCAACTCGCAAATCTTCGAAGCCCTGCGCCTCTCTGCAGGCCCGGGCCTTGCTCACTACTCTGTCTTCCTTGATGTAGTTGTCCGTGGAGGTCTCCGGTCGCCCATCAGACTCGGGCTGGCCGGGCTGGCCGGGCTCGGGAGGCTGGCCAGGCTCGGGAGCCTTAGACAAGGCTAGGTCTAGGTTCCTGGAGGCCGTGGAGACAGGGGAAACCACAAGAAATGAGCCCGAAGCAACTGTTGCGGATAATTCCTGCTCTGGTCCGCCGACTTGTTCAGGCTCCACCTTGGCAGCGGCCTTCGTCTTGGTCAGCTCCTCGACATATTCCCGCAGCTCCTTGTTCAAAGGAGTACCTGTCTTCTCATACCTCAGTGTCAATCCGGGAGGGTGGAGATGCACGTAGGCGCAAAGCCTCCAATTGCTGCTCGGCCAAGCCACGCCCAGATATTTAAAGGCCTGTTGATAAACATGAAGGACACGTAGCCTGGAGATAAAACATGTCTCTACCGGCGCAGCACTGTCTGAGCAAATGCCAGTGGTCTTTGCGCAACACTGAGCCGCGAGCCTAGATACAAACAGAAAAGAATGATGGCCTGCAGGGACATGTGTCAAGCATCGTTTCGAAGAGTTCTGGGCACATGCACCTCCCCAGCAGTTATGGTCTGGTTGTATGTGAAGGATGCCAGTACGGCCAGCGAGCAAATGTAATAGGTGCAGTCCTTCCGAGTTCCAAGAGTGCAGATTGCAAACATCGGTATGCATCTGCGTGAATGCAAGTGGTTGCAGCAGGCGGTCCCGAAAGAGTGGCCACCAAGTCAGCTCTATATTGCCCTTGGCCACGTAACCACACCTTATGACACAGATCAGCTATGAGCAATCATTTTGGCTCAACACTTGTACGCACGTTTTGAAAATCGCCCAATGCTGCCCGGCCACAGTCCGATCACGAAGAGTACGTTGAAAACTGCCGATCCTACAATGGTGCCGAAGCCCACATCGTTTTGGGCCTGCCGCCATCGCAAATTCAAGTCGGACTCGAACTGCAGATGTGGCCCCCACCGCATCTGCAAGACCTACTGCTAGGGTCGTCACAATCGTCGCACCCACCATGGAGGTGAAGAACTCTGGGGCTGATCCACCAGCAGCCATCCAGGTTGCCTCGTCTCACCGATCGTCGTTGTCGCAAAAAGAGTTTCAGGGCCCCAAGCCCTTCGCTAAGCCAAAGCCTCCCAAGCCAACTCCGGCGACTTCGCCGACTTCCGGACTCTTCAGACGAGGTGCACTTTGGACGAAGGAGATTGAAAACTCAAGACCCCAAAGCCACAAGACAAAACCTACAGAGCCGTTTACCGAACTAACTACGAAGGCCTCAAAATTCAGAATGATGGTAAATCGGCCTCAACCGTTTTGAAGCTACAACCAGACCAGTTACTCCATACTCAATGATACTGCTCTCAATACCGCCCTAGCACTAACAGGAGGATACTTTCGACGCCAGCCATCCGACAAGGAACGCTCCTGCCGACAAACCCTGGCTTCTGATGGCAATGATGACTCTTTCTTCTGGGCTGAATGCCACTACTGCCCCTCATGCTCGTGTTGCCCTTGTAGCACAACTATTCCCGTTCCGAAGACTCGGGGGTCAGTGCAGAAATGAGCACTTGCACTCGCGTTGCTTCAATGCTGAGCAACCCTGACAATCTCAAGCCCAGCTCCAAGCCCGTGGGAGGTCTCCAGCTGCTGCTCAGAAACGCCGGCGACATCGGGTGTTAAACTCCAGGCATCGCAGAGCAAGTCAATAGCCCCCGCGAAGTATACGTCACAAACCGTGTTCAGACCCAACACCATGTAGGCCTTAGAATGGTACAGCAGGAACAGCTCTGGAACTAAAGAGTAGCTACTGAGGCTCTCATCCCAGGCCCGGGCGATGCCGATGCAGTGGAGCAGGGCCAAAAACTTTTTGCCTGCTGTACTTCATCGGACGGGAACTAGGGCGTAGGGGTCGGCGCACAGCGCCAAAAAACCCACCTGTAGGCTCGTCTTCGTAAGGCTCATTCAGCAACAAGTCTGGCGGATACAAGTTTGGGGCAACCTTAGCTGCCAGACAGCCCATCTTCGGAAGGAGAGGATGCTGCAATGGTCCACAACCAAGCCCGGGAACAGTCGTGCTAGTGGTCAGCTCATCCTCATACAATCGTCTTGTACCTAAGAAGCATTGCCACCATCGGGTTCAACTTCAACAGAGACTTTGGCTGCTAGCACGGGCTTCACCACCTGATACCCGTGACGTCTGATGTGGAATCTGCAATTCTTGCAGCCACGCTTCTCGTGGAGTTTGCTGAAAAATCCTCCAGTCAACCAAACGAGGAGTTGCACACAGAATACACTCGTCTCACAATGACCAGGAATGAACTGCTCAGCTTGTCCTGAACCATACAGACCACAGTGAAGCATACCGCAAATCCTCAAAAGGAAGAAACAGTGCTGATGCGTGATCCTCTCAATCCGCACAACGAGATCAACGAGGCAGCCTCTCAGAAGATAAGGTGCTGGCCGAACGAGCATAGTATGGAGATCCTCCGGCGCTCGAAGGGCCCTAGACTTCGTCGCAAAGCCTTCGGTGCGGCGCGCATCGTTGCTTTGAACGGTGCTACACTGCTACATCACTACGCACACAAACACACACTGCGACATGATGTGCAACTCAGACCCTTGCTTTCCTGTTGAATCTTATCCGCATGGCTGGTTCTGACTACCAAATCCTGCAGGAAGCAAGTACATGCAAGTACTGTCCCAGTGCATGTCCAAGACTTGTTTCTGCATTTGGACGGGAGCAGCGGATGTCTCCTCGAGGGGTTCCGCCTTGGAAGCTGGGTCCAAGGGTGCGGTCTCTTGTCCCGCCGTTCACCTCCCAGGCCCCACGGCCTGGAAGAGCAGAAACAGCTCTACTCAAGTAGTGGCAGGTACGACTCATGTTTCGGACGCAGGGGCCTCCACAAGGGGAGGTGAAGCGGAACCCCACCTAAACCTCTGAGCAGTATATGTGCTGCGTCGGGGCAGGTAGCGGGTGCAGGCGTGCACAGGGAAGCCGCGAGAAGCGGCAAAGCAAACTAATCCTAAGCCTTCGTTTCCCCGAAAACTTGTTTAACAACGTGCAGATTAACGTGCAGAGCATCTTTGGGACCAAGGCTGTTGCAAACCACTTCCAAGAAACAGCTTCTTGCCACATTGTTTCAACAATCTCTTCATGCTTGCCACCTAACCCGTCTTGAAAGGCATCCTATCCACGCAACGTGTTTCTGATGCCTGTACTGCAGCTTCATTTGAAACACTGAAATGCAGGCCTGCAAAATCGAAGTGCAAGTTTCAGCAGCTGACAGTCAACTTCGACTTCTGCGTTTGCGTCCGCTACGTAACTCAAGAAGTCAGGACCTCCTGCATCCAACCGAACCACGTGAGGTCTTTTCGAACCAGGGCTTGTGCACGCCCTTCGTCGTGAAGTCATCGGCTGTGTGAAGCTGACCTGTTGTGGTGCAAAGCTTGCGTATTCACTGCCCCCGACACTCCAGAACAGAGTGCGACAGATTAGCTTATGAAAAGCTAGTGACTCGCTCCGCTTTGCAAGGAGTGACAAGGCCTTTTAAAGGACCTTGAAGTGGCGGAAGACCATGTGGAGTACGTAGGCAATAAAGAATGCTGCCTCAGAGCCAACCACCCCACTGCCCCCGAGATCGACTTGTCATCCATTTCGATTCCGGCCGAGTTACGATACCGTAGCCACATGTCAGCTTGAACATGCTGTTGCTGGAGAGGCCTGATTGCAAGCAGTCTGGCAATTCCAGCACAATGTCGGCACTTGCTTTGGGCAGCATGGTGAAGGCACGGACTTCTGTAGTGCTCCTCCACTGCGATTGGATCCACGACCCACCTGCAACAAAAACACAACGACCACACAAACTAGTGATCTGGACTTGAGGCGCAGTCAAGACACTGGAAGAACAACGGGTTGCGTGCAGGGATCCCAGTCGTTGCGGTCCACTCCTGGCAGTTTGGGCCAGGAGTGTTGTTTCAAGCAGGGTTTGCAATGCGATATGCCCCGAGTCAACCAGAGATGTGCGCTTCTGTCACATCAGATCACATGCGATATGCATCGTCTCCTGCACCGCCAGCTGGTACATGGCCTTGTACATTTCTTTGCCGGTTCTGCTGAATAGATCAAATGAAACTCATTCGGACGGCCTTGTGATTGTCCTCTACGATTCGCAGGCCAGAGCGGGCGAAGGGGGATGTGGCATCATGGCACTGAAACCTCAAGGTCGGTGGCCAACAGTTCGTCAGGACAAACATCCGCGCACGCAGCTCCCAATGTGCCAAGAAGCGGAGTCCCCGTCGTTCCACAGCAATCTGTGCCAACAGCCCAGAAGTCGAGAGTTCCTAGTGCCAGAAACCGCTTGCTTGGATCGTCTCTGCGATGAAAAATCGACGAAAGGTACTGCAACTCGCAGGGCTTCGGGTTCTAATCCGACTTGGTCGTGTCTCCCCTCGGGCATCTACTCCGGGAACTTGCAGTTGCTGCCCGGCATGCTGCCCCCCAATTCTGAACACGCGAATGCCGTGGCTCGCGTCGCCGAGCTTTATAAAAGACCGTTGGAAAATGGAACCACAAGCGGCTGTCCGTAATCTCAACAACGCAACAATGACAAAACATTGAGAAATCGATGGCCAAAGGCCACCGGCAGCATCTGTCAGCTCGTAGACTTTCGCTTTTCGCTTGCATCTCTTCACGGCTTGTCATGAGTGTCTTGGCTGTTATCTTCTGCGCTCCTATCTTGACACAGATTCTCTATACCTGGCGCATCCATTCCCTGCTCTGCGCCACGAGTTCGATCATTCAATTGCCACCCCTCAGGGTTTCCAGTGCCTGCCCCTGATTGCACCACAAGCTGACGTCTAACTACGCAGTGCTGAAAGCTGGTGGCCCGACTCCTGCACTGCACAAATACATAACAGCACCGACTGCATTCATTCTTGTAGAAACCCCCTGTCTAGAACGATGGAGCAGTTTCTACACCAAGCACGCAACCCGCAAGTCAGCACATTCACGATGTTCGCCGCTGCTTGCTGACTGCAGCTGCTGTACTACATTGCCAGGATTTGTGGTCGAGGGCAGATCGTTGATGCATAGTTTGCGAGATGTACAGTCAGCTGTCTCTGGTAATGCAAAGTCACTCCAACATTAACTTGTTGTTGTTGCTGCTATGGGCAGACGTTCTCTCTGCAAACACGACTCTTGCTACTCTGAACATCACATTCTGCTCCGCTGGACTGGTGTCATCCACGTCAAGACTCCGGCTATCATATCCAGATCGCGATACTGTATAATCACAGATGTAACAACAAGACCGACAGAATTAGCAGTCGCTGAAAGAAAAGGAACACCCAATTTTTTCAACTGTAACGAGAAGGAGAGCAAACCCCGAAGTATGCAGAACAACAATTGTAACAAACCCGCGATAATAAAAAAAAAATACATAAGAAACAAAAAACCTACAGCAAAGAAGAGGCAGAACGAAAGAGATGATTTTTCCCTGATCTGTATCATGTAGATGAGTTTTGGCCCAGGCACCGCTCTTCGGAATCACGAAACCTCAATGCGAACTCCGGATGCACACGTCGATTTTACCACGGCTGCTCATCCCGAAGGCCTGCTGCGGTCTTTCGCTCGTTGCCCGTTCCTTCCAAAGGCTCGGAATATATCGGAGCCACACCTAGCAGGCTGGGTCGCAAAGGAGCCGCAAATCTTTCCACAAGTGTGTCGGTTCCGGCCAAGCTGCAATATGTCAAACCATTCCGAAACGCGATCGCTTTGGTCAAGTCTACGCTCGAGCCCTCCTCGGCCAAGATCTCAACTCTTGCACAGCCAAGCTGGTCCGAGGAATTGTTCGGAACTCACCTAGTGGGCAAGTCCTTGAAGTACACGGAGCCAGCATCCATGAAGGAGGTGCCCTTGTCAACGGAAGGGTCGACGTTGACCTGAGCCAGCAGGGCAATGAATGCGGCGGCAAAGGTAAGTGTCTTAAGCTGGGTGAGCAGCATAATTTGCCATCTGCTGGTACTCGTTGTACTTTGCTACTCCTGTCCACCAATAGTTGTTTCCGAGAACCTCAGAGTAAAACAGGATGGGGCCGCAATCGCACTGGCTTCTTTAAGATTACCGACAACAGACAAGCCCTGTGAGGCCTCCTGGTTCAGACCCAGTGCGTGTGTCCCCATGAAGCTCTCTCTCTCCCCCTCTCTCTCTACAAATCCTGCACATATCAACTCTCTGTGCATCTCCGCGACGGCCCCTGCGGCAAGAGCGGCCTCGGCTGGAAAACAGAGGGAGCGAATTCATTGAATTTCATGCAAGGACAAGCAATCAGCCCTAAAAAAGTGAAGACTAAGACTGTAAGGGGACGAAGGGAACCAAACCAGGAAGGCGACAGATAGTGCAACATGCAGAACAGGAAGGTATACTGCAGCATATGCTCAAGCAAAGCAGATAGTATGAAAAGGACTCGAAACCAAATGTCCGTCTGCAGCCAGGCCGCCCACAAGGACAGCGAGATAACCAACCAAGCCCTCGCTGGCCGCCGGGTTCGATATCTGGCCTTGGAACTTGGGCTACCAATATAATTTAATATAATACAATATA